TTTCATTGGAACAGCATTTTCAACTTGCCCAAGTTTGGAAAACCAAAACTTGATTGATAGAGATGTTCAAATAGATAAAAAGGAAATGAAAGTGACCAGAATGCCAATATTGTGTATAAAGCATGCCCTTTCGCTGACCTACGCTTAGATATCATTCATCTCTTGAATTAAAGCTGCGATGAAAAGCCCGGCAATTTGTTGACAAATGTTTGATCAATTGGTTTAATCAGTTGATCAGAGAGGCAATAATCTTTTTAAATGAACCCCATATGTCTTGTCCTGAGATTTAAATCCCTCAGATCTGTTATCTTCATGATAAAAGGATGCTAACACGATGTAAACAAGTCATTCTCAATTTTTTTCACTCGTAATTTATTCATCATTAATTACATGTGATCAATTTACTTTCTGATCACATCAGTCCTTTCTTGTGTTGTTTTAAAGACCCAGTCTCGATGGAAAGGCCTGAATCAGTTGAAAAACATGTATGCCAAATCAAAGGATTGGTATCGATATGGTAAACTGAATTGAACACATGTTTCTCTTCAATCAGTAAGTTGTCTCAATATTGTAATTGTACAAAGGAAAGTTTGGTTCATTAAAAAAAGTATCTTTTTATTGAAATAAAAGGTTTATTTTAATTTATATCTGTTTTTGTTTTTTTTTGTTTTTTGAATACTTTTTGTTAAATCAACCAAACTTTCCTTTATATAACTATAATATTGAAAGGTCTTAGAAAATGTTGTATATGCTATTCTGTTCTAACAAAATTTGGAAAGATATTTTATTTCATTCTCAAGAATTGGTAAATAGGCACAAAAAACAATTGCACTAAAAAAATGTTCACAAAAACAGTTATATAAAATATATATAAATAATTTTTGTATTAAATTGTAGTCAATCAGTGACCATTACATAAAGGGACAAAAAACATTTCCACTAAAAAAAAGTTCACAAAAACTGTTACATAAAATATATATTTGAATGATTTTTGTATTAGATTGTAGTCAATCAGTGACACATAAAGGACCGTGTTTTTTACATAATGTTTTCAATAATTGTTGAATCCAGTTCAACATATCGATACCAATCCTTTAAACAAAATCTGTACTCCCAAATATTTTCCTCAAAATCTCAGATTATAGGAATCCTATTAATTTGAAATTTTGTTACACTTATTTATGAATTAAATAACTGACGACTGTGATGTTATGGCAACACCGCCTGGCTTAGCTGCTCAGCCAACTTGACGACCCCAAAAAAGGTTGTTTCGTCAGCCAATCAAACTATAACAGGTGTTAACGCTCAACACACATTCATTCACACACACAATCTCAAAAGTGAATGACAGGAGTGCATTACTTTCAACATTTTTTGATTTACAATAGTTTTCAATTATTAATCAGTTTTAGAGCCTAGAAGTAATCAGACGAAGACTCCAAATTAAATTTTTGAAAAGGGTATCATTAGCCTTACTAGTATTAATTTGAGTTAAAGGAGTGTTTTACTTGTCACCTACTCTGATTTGCAATAGTTTTCAATTATTAATCAGTTAATGGTAGAAGAAAATAATGACCAATTCAAAAATGATATTTTATATGGATGCTCCCATTCTATCGGAGCATGTGGTATTATCTTGTCTAAGTAGTAATCAATATGTTCCTCCGATGACCTCATCAAGCGCATCAAGCAATACGTCAGACTCAGCAAGATCAGCGATGGATAAAAACCGATGATTATTCAAACCGTGATCAACTCATTTTTCATTGGTGTTCACCCACTGGCTATTTTCTCCTTTACTCCTTGTTGAATCTCCCTACGAGATAGTGTCCTTACTCAATTCACGTGGAGCTTTAAAGTGAAATTTCACTGGGGAGAGGGAGCGGGCGGGGGGAGTGGGGGAATAAGTCTGATTATAATTTAAACTTAAATAGTCAGTTTTGAATGGCCCAGGAGCAGTCGATAGTTAATGGTTGACATATTGCTGGTTGAGATTATTATCTCAGTCAGGATTTATATTGGAGGAAAATAAGCAACTTTATGGGGAGGTCAATAGTATGATTTGTTGACTGTGTCATCATACATAAGATTCATTCTCAAAATGGTTTTGAGATCTTAGATCCTAAAACTTTTCATTTATGTCATGGTTATTCCACCGTTATTCCATGTCATATCTCGATTAAAGATGACATTTTGTGTTACTTTATAATGGGAAAGCACAAAAGGCCACATCTGAAAACAAAACAAAACCCCTAAAAACCATATTTAGAGCATGCACATGTTGAAAGTATGTTTTGTTCATGCTTTTAATTCTGCACCACATCTAAGTTTAAAAACATGTATTTGATTTCATAAAGATGGCATCTGGTGAAAAAATAATTTCATTCTGATTTTTTCATATTCAATTTAACTTGAAACTCATTTAAACATATTGTTTAAAACATTATGTGACCATTTATATCTTATTCCAGGATTATTCCTCGTTTCATTTGGCTACTAAGTGAAATAATTATCACTGCGACAGGATCATCCGGCTTTCTAGAAAAACCTATCAGAATAATAACAAACTAATTCATATATAAATGGCGTAAATCAGAGTTTCCAATTTGTTTAATTGCAAATCATGATATCACTCTCTAAGAGGATTATACCAATAGCAAAAACTTCACTGTCTATTTTATTTTTATTTTACATATTTTTATTTTTGAGTTTAAAGTTAATGATTGTTACTTTAAATAGTTAAGAATATTGACTTGTTAATAAGCCTCTGTGTTTCTCACAAATCCCCCTGTCGTTTGTGTATCATGAAGATTACGGAGTAGCAGGATTTTCATGAGTAAACTGAAATGATACGTCTACATTTAAGAGAATCCGGAAAAATGTATGTGAATAACAGCGAATAAGCTTCTATTGGCTTTGAATTGCGGATCATCTTCTAAGGACTAATTTCAACAAATATGACTTCTATTTACTTTGCTCCTTTGTACAAAGAAAAGATGATGGATAGTGTTTTGAATTAAACCTGATTGTTAATTCGTATGGCTTAGTTTCTTTGTCGATAAATCTAATCTGTCTTGTCACTCGATAGTCAGTTTCAAATGTTCCTGGTTGATGATGATTCGTTAGTCAATACGGATTAGAAAACTTAACTCTTTTGTTATGATGTACACCTCTCTCTTAAAAGTGTATATTTGTCTTTTTATTTTATTTTACTTTCTTACCTGGTTTTAACCTCTTGATTCCCATACTCTAAAATCGATTTGAAACCAGAGAATTTTTTCATTTTTCTCAGCTTTTAACATTTTATGGTACATACATTACAGATGATGCTCAATTTTGGAAATCAGTTGGTAGAAATCATTTCTCCACAATTTAAAACATTTTTTGTGTAAATTGGATTAGAATTGTTCAAATTACAGCAATTTTGGTGAAAAAACTTGTGACAAATTATATCGTCACTCTAGGTTTCAAGGTCATTTCTTAGGTGACGAGAAATCTCATCACTCTGGGTTGTCAAGAGGTTAAAATGGAGAACAGGATCTAAAAACTGATTTTTTATAATCCTGTTTAATTCTAATTTTAACACAGACATCTTGATTATAATGAAATCTTTCACAAGGGGTCTCTTCATAAAAACTCCATTGAGTCCAAGACCAATATAAATAGAATTAATAATACGAACAAAATTCAGGTTTTATGAAATATAAGCATCATTTGTACACTTTTATTCAAGTTTGATTGAGGTTTTTCAATCTTATAATACATAAAACACAGATTTACTTTTGATTTATGACAATGCAATTCAACATATTAATTGGTTTCAATGTCACAATGCAGTGATATATTGCAGAAGTTTAATATGTTCATTGACTTTTTACTTTACATTTATTTAATGTAGTGCCCTTATAAAAAATCATAAAATATTATGTCTATTTTTGATTTTCATTTTTATAGCTACTATGGTGAACTGCCCCATAAAAACATCAGTTTCGGATTCTTGATTATGGAGAAAATTCCAAAATGTTCAAATTCCAAAACTTATATAGAAATGTCTAATTTTAGGTTGCTCTGTATAATGGACACTTGCAAAAATAAATCTGATAAAATGATCAGTATGATTTATACTTAACAAAATGATGCATTGGAGTTGAACATCAAACTGTACTGATTTCAAAAAATATTTCAGTATAGTGCACAGCCCTCCAAAAAGCCTCAATTTTAGGAAATCCACTCCCTCTGTTGATCATGTTTTATGGAGACTGTGCCCTAGACTGTCATTAGTTCACTTTAGGAACAGAATATAAATATATATTTCAAATTGATGCTAAAATATCCTCATGATATTTTTTCTGTTACAACAATCTATGAAATGCATTTTTAATTTTATTCGTAGAAGTCATCTGTTTAACAGTAATTCAATTGATTTATGTACAATTTATTTGATTCAATACACAATGAATAGACAATATCAAACATCACAATTAATACCAAAAAAGGAAAATACTGACTCAATGCACATCGCTGATGATCATGCTAATTTTAATTAAGCGCTTTCTCTATAATTTTATATTGTTTTCCTGCCTCTGTCCTTGCTCCATCCTCCGAACAAAGGCCTCCAGAACTCGTACCTCCTTCCAGAAGAAGGAAGGAACGTAGTGGATGATGTCTGGAACCCTGCGTTCGGATGATGTCCTCGCTCACTTTTTCATTCAACTCTTATTTAAAAGTGCGACCATCAACCAAATAATCATCAATTGTTATAACCCAATAGATAAATAAATAACAAATTAGACAATAAGGAAGCAATGATATACTTCTAAAAACTGAATTGCACATTTAATACATTGCACATTTAATACATTGCACATTTAATACATTGCACATTTATCACATTGCACATTTAATACATTGCACATTTAATACATTGCACATTTAATACATTGCACATTTAATACATTGCACATTTAATACATTGCACATTTATCACATTGCACATTTAATACACTTTGTACACTCCAGCTATACAAGATTATAACCAAGAATTATTAATTGGTCTACAAAACGTGTCACGGTCAATCTGTTTCCAGAATAAAACACTGAAACAACTTATATGCAGTACGTCTTATTCTATTTCCTGCTTTATCATATACAACTCACTCCTTTTCATGCTTTTTATATAATTTTTTCTTTTTAGGAGTGCTTAGTCTACTGCACAGCTGCAATAATTTCACAGAAGTCAAGCAACATCTATATTCTTGACCGTGATATTTTGAGCTATGTAGTAGACTCGATTTTTAAGCATTTCTGTCCAAGTCAGAGTTGACGTTGATGCTGTTTAGTTAGGAGAGCCCCCCTTTCATTTACTTGAAGAGACCATCAACTCAAGGCAATTTATGGATGAATATATGCACATATACATGGTTACGACCTTGAAGTACATAACAACTTATAGAATGCACGTCGGAATTCCTCATTAAAGACGGTATATAGAACTGGATTCAGCGTAGAGTTAACATAGCCTAACCATATAATTACTGATGCAATGTCAGCATTGATGACACATGTAGCCCCACAGAGACTATTAGTAAGATACATTGTGAAGAACGGCAGCCAGCAGAAGATAAAGCAGGCCATGATAATTGCCATACGCTTCGTAGCACGCTGCTCTCTTTGATCAAATTTTCTCTGATGACTGTTGCTCCGGAATTGTTTACGTTTCTTCTTGGTCTTTTCTACTTCCTGTTTGTTCATTTTCGGTTTTGTTTTTTTAGTGGTTGTAACTGGAGGCTCGTTGTTGTTGCCCGTAGTTGGAACTTGGGTTCCATTTGTACAGGCTTCAACTTTGGTATTGTCTGTTTCATTGGAGTTAACGTCCTCCTCGGCAGGTGTACACGTGATCACCGGGATCAACATTTGTTTCTCATGGTCAATACCATTTTTTAAACTATTGGGGTCCGTTTTTTCTGATATAGTTCTCTCAGTTGAGTCCCGTTTGAGACTGGTCCCGTGAGTACTGTCCTCACTTTTCTCTTGACTGCTGCTACTAGGATCCGAACTGAAATAACTTTGCGTGCTGACACCATCAAATGTTGAGTTCACGTCAATTTGAATCAAATGCTTGTTAAGAAGATGCATGTCTTTTTGAGGAGTGCTCGGGGGAAGTTCAGCTTTCGGTCCACCACTCAGTTCCCTAGCAGCTTTATCTTTTTTGGCGTGTTTATCTAAACTACGTCGGAGCTGGCGTGCACGGCTACGAATCACATAAAATATACGGAAATATAGAAACATCATTAGGAATAGAGGTATGATAAATGATCCTGAGGCAGAATACACCACATAGTCAACTTTCTCGAATAGAATGCACCGTTCCTTTCCGTAAACATCCCTACGTACGTTTTCTTCAATAGTATTGTTCCATCCGAAAAATGGTGCTATGGAGATAGCAATTGAAAAAATCCATACCATTGTGATGTATAACAGGGCTCGTTGGATTGACCGTCTTTCCCGATACCAAACTGGAAAATTGGTTGCTGTGTAACGGTCTATCGCCACTACACACAGGCTCCATATACTAGCAGTACAGTAAAATACGTCAATTGACAACCATACGCTGCATAGCACACGTCCAAACACCCAATATCCCAAAATGTCATTGGTAGCTGACATCGGTAAAACTGTCAACGCTAATAACAAGTCACTGATCGCCAAATTTCCAATGAGATAATTTGAGACTGTTTTCAGGTTTTTGAATTTATATAAGGCAACGAGGACAAGAATATTTCCAAAGGCAGTTCCGAGTGTTACACCTCCTAAAATTATTGATACAACGATTAACGCTGGTGTGCTATATCGTTGAGATATGCCTGTCATTTCCAATGTGACGTTCGTAACCTCCATCGGACTTGGAGGAATGGTGCTAGTATTGTGAAAATAGTAACTTCCAGCCCCTGGGGGATAAACCACATATTCACTCCCATTACTCATTGTCATATCCAATGACGTTGATAACAGCTAATTGATACTATATATGAGCATGTATTAACTACGTCAGCTAAGCTCAAAACAGCTGCTATTCCTGGTTTTACCAATTTCTAATCTAGGGTCCCACTTTATATTGTCTGTAAGTAAATCCCTGCGGACAAAATTCAAATGTCAAAGTCTAAATCCGATTTAATTAGTCTTTTCTGAATCTACTTGGCATTTGAAGTTGCTCTGTATGTTCAGCCAATGAGTTGTATCATTTCACTTTCTCCAATACAAATCTGAATATCAATCTCAATTCTCTGGCTTTAGTTATCGTTTATATCGTTTGTATCACAGGTCGGTTACCTGCCCTTGTGTTTGATTGGTCTTCCTTCGCTGGGTTTTCAGTATTTGCTTTTGCGGTATCTTTATATTTGCTCTTTGTGAGATCCAGTATTCATGACGCTATGGAGTCAGTGATCTGTTATCTGTCGTTAATCTTACATCAGGCTTTAATACCATCTGAAAGTACACATGACATATTGATTAGAATTAATGAAATAGGTTGATGTTCACTCGGTAGTTTCTCATATTTTCTCTCTGGAAATGAACCACACTTTGCGCTGGTATATATTTTGTTGGAAACTCACAACAGCCTGACAACCAATGGCAATCACTTTTCAACCTTGACAATGAACTCGAGAAAATGAGTTGCTTGGACTGAATGTCAACATGTCGTAAAATCCTGTATATTTAAATATTAAATTCTTGGTTGTATATTTTATTCTCTGCAAATCCCTTTATTTTTACAGCTATTTATATTTGAAACTTGATCATCATAAATTTTTCAAGCAGTTAATCTTATAAAGTACGGAGGAACAATCGTAAAATCATGCAAGCAAATGTTAAATCAATAGCATAATTGGAAAAGTTAATATTAATAATATATCACAGTCTATGATCTACAGAATTCAAAGTAACCTGTTTAATTTTTATAATGATTAAGATTCAAAATGCCGTTTGATATTAATGATGGTTGACATTTGTTTTTCATATTCATATCTCATTATATCAAAACATACCTGACCTTTAATTAAAGTATATTATGATATCAAATTAATACCCTCTAATCAATCAAATTATTTTATCCTATAAACTAAAATGTTAGAAACTTAATTAAAACATAAATTGTTTTTTAACTTTGAAGATTTCTTACTTGACTTACCAATTATGACACCTGTTCGCAATAGTTCTTCAAACAGATATATCATCTGATATTACAAATTTCTAACAGATATATCATCTGATATTACAATTTTCAATCTCATTTTTACAATAATCAGATAAAGCGTAATCATTTAACATATTACTATCCATTTTCATTATTTGTTTTAGTAGAACTTCCTGACCTGGATCCATAATTTACCACACCAACCTAACACTGTGCGACTCTAGTTTCAAATGTCAGATTGACATCATTGATTCAATACAATCTTCATAAAATCTAAAAAAACGTTCTTATTTTCTAGCTTTTATATGAATCTTGAATATGTACCTCCTACGTTGCAGTTAAATATATTCTTTTGATAGTTTCCTACAATCTAATTTGCATTTCAGAACACATCAGCCATATGGTATGTTTTATTCGAAGTTCGAACCAGACTTTAAGAGTTATATCCTTGTCCCTCGTGTCTTATAACGGCTAGATGATTGCCTTAGTGACATTTACCCGTTGTTCACTATAGCGGCACTTTCCATATTCTGCGAACCATCGACTGATCATTTAGCCAGTAGGCTCTGTTGTTTGACAGAATCTGATTTGGATTGTGACTAAACTGCTTATCGGAATTATCCTAACGCTCTGATCAAAGATAATCCCTTTAGCATGAGTACTGAATCTTTAGAACGACTATCGATAATCTGCATTGTTCCAAAGTACCCGTCAAACACAAGCAGTTACATCAATTTGCGTTTATTAACTAGATTTCTCAGTCTGTTTTCATTGCATTGATTCCGTCTCTGTAATTGTCATTTCTTCAAGCACAAGCCTAATCATATTTTGATTGTATATCCACATATTTGTTTTTTACGTTTTCAGATGTTTTTCCAAATAACATCAATCAGTTCTCCAATATTTCTGATTTACCTATATCTCTCTAGATGTTTTCATTCCCTCGTTATTCCTCTCACTTTTACATGAAAAAGCATGACAAAGCAAATCTGTTTATAGATGTTGCCTGCATACAGAATTAATAATATATGAGACATATCAAGATATTGTGAGATATCAAATATTCTTATTATTGGACGATGATTAACAGTAAACAGAATATGTGAATATAATGCTTAATGTTATGTCATGAATTTTCCCCGACAATAATTTTTTAGAGCGCTGAATTATTATTAGTATTTCTGCCTTGTATTTCTTGATCTATATGTACTTTTATGTATTGTGATATTTAAAAAGCCAACAGGTTAGTTAGTAAAAGATACAGCGTTTCAAAGTAAATTGTCAGGATAAGTCACACTCATAGTTACTAATCAAATGAACTAAGACTTCATTAAATTTTAAAGAGAGCTGCGTTGGAGGAAGAAATTGCGCAGGTTGGCTGCTAGGAATCCTGCAAGAGATCCTGATTAGAGAATATTAATTCTATTACCTGTTCGATACACACTTCAACTAACAGTTAATTGTTTAAGTCACCCGACTAATGTTCTCATCGTGTCAACGTGAGTCATTCTCTCCCAATCTCATGACTTTCAAATTCTCAGTTTCTCTGATTTCAGCTTTTTGAAGCACATGTCATCTTTGCACACTTCGGTCGTCACTGCGTGCATCGACCGATAGTAGCCGAGTGAACAAAGATGAGTACATATACTGTATGTGTATAATATTACTGTGGTGTTTTGCTTTTATTAACTCAAAGACTTTCGCAGTTTTTCCACTTATTACAAAAAACGTGATGGCGTCTCCAGGGGGTGAAGCCGAGTGCAATAATATCTCTAATCGGGCATTGATTACTCGCCAGATCGACTTTGTAATTTTAAGTCTGTCATCTTCAGGTAACCGCACGCTTCTTTCACATCCCTTGCAACAAATTTCACAATGTTTATTAATTCCACTTCTGTGCCCTTACAATAAATGTAATTTGCTAATTTTTGGATCATTTAGTATGTTAACTGTTAAATGGTTCTGGTATTGCTTTTTTGTAAAAAATTCTGTCCAGTTTAGCGCTAAACTTGGAGTAAACAATAAGTTTCATATTCCCAGGTAGAGTAAGCCAATTAACTGAACAAATGATTGTTATACGAGCATGAAATTAGACTTGTATGCTGTGAAACCAAGCGTGAAATATCTTTTTTTCCGTAAAAAAGATAAATAAATATTGCATTTATTTTTTCCTACTTAATTTCATTTTCTTTATTGATGAATTCATTAACAGCAGTTATCTTTGAATTAAAGACACGACACAATAATAATTTTAATATTTATCATTAATGAATTCTAGAATCAAAAGTTTTTAATCAAGTTTTATGATTTTTATGGATCATTGGCTACAATGGTGAAAATTACCTTAAATGATAAAATTTAATTTGATATCAATTTATAGCCTCTCATAAAAAGTAAAAATATTGTATTATAACTTTGAATTAATGTGTATGTTCAACACCTCGAAATGTGATGTTACATAAGATTCTAGTTTTTTGATGAATAAATAATCCTTTCCCAAATGATGTCCTTCTTTAGATCCAATTCTCTTATCCACTTTCTCCTTAAATTTCCCATTTATAATGGATCAAGCCAGCTAATGCTTAACAACGTAAAATACATACCAACGATGTCTTGGATTTTGGGAGGGATGTTGGTATTACTTACGGAGGTCAGAATGCTCTAACCATTCCTGCTAACGGCCTATTGAATACCTCTAAATTGATAAAACATCCATTTTTATTATCAGCACCTTAGACCCAAGTTGTCGTAAAAAGTAAATTTAAGTATCGATAAGTGAATATTGATAATTTATTTTACCTTAATGACGCTTCCAGCTGACGATTAACTCCGGCCATTTGAAATAATTCCTATGGTTTATGGGAGTTTTGTGATATTGAATGGCATCATGTCACATCATTTTATTTAGTTATACTACGCTATTTCTATTGTAAATGTAAACTGAGAATTTATTATTTGAGTTTATTTGTTGTTGTAGTGTTGATTCAGAGACTGTTAATTTAACATATGTATGTCTTGTTTAAATAATGTGTTTACTTTTTGTCTGTCTCGTCTCTGCACTTCCTGCGTAAAATGACATGTCAGAGGATCGACTTATCTGGATCTCATGAAGTGCTCCTCGTGTTTTTATTGTATTGTTTAAAACAATGTCTGGTTTTCCACTTGTCATATGCAACACATAACGATATTTTTTAAAGAAAAAAGTAGTTTGTCAGATTGCATTCTAGGTTTCACTTCGATTTTTCAATGTCAGGGATTGAATAATGAATACCTGTCAGTCGTTTTTGCTCAGTTATGAGTTTATTTACAATTTTGCATTATGAAATGAAATTATTTATAGATATTTTATGTCTGTTTGTTAGTTCAGCTACTGCTATTTGAGTTATTCTTGTAACACAATATTAACTCAATGCCTCAAGCTCATCCAAGGCATATTGACTTGGCCATTTTGCCAGTGTATGCCAATAGTTATACATGATTGATCTAATTGAGCAATTTCTGATTTCATTTTTTTCACCAAAATAATTATGTCTCTCTAAGATTTTGTTTTTCATTTTTTCTTAAAATTTGATTGTACACTGTGGTACTTGACAAGCATGTAGTTAAATGTATGCCACTATTCGATCTCTAATATGATTTCCATCAAAACCTTATGCCATAAGTTGGAAATACAAGATGCTGATTTCTAGATTAATATGAAAGATGACACATCTTGATGGATTACTCAACATGAGGTACGCAAATACAATGCCAAAGTATCAAGAAATAATTCTGCTTTATATGCAAAAAGTTAATAATTGGCCAAATCAAAAAATGCTGCAAACATTGTATGGCTGCAACATTATATGACATAATCCCACTCAATTTGGACTAATGCCCTAAGGTTATCGCTACCATCAGGATACTCATCGCTCTGACCCATGTGGTCATCTAGTTTTGATTAAGAATCAAGAAATCAACTGACCAATCAAATCCTGTTACTGAGTTGGTTACATAATTCAGAATGCATTGACACTTAAAAATTCTCTTTTAGCTCTTGTAAGATATATTATGATGAGTATCAGAATGGGGAGGGAGAGGGGGGGGGGGTGCTACAGATTGAATGAAACGTGAAAACCCGGATTAAAATCTTTTTTCTCATAGCCTGCTATTACTGTAGTATCTCCTGCCATAACTCAATGTGAGTAGAAATCAATTATAAATCCATTGAATAATATATTCATTGAAACAAACTATTGTCTAATTTGTCTGTTTATGAGCAACAATTCTATGACTTATATTAGTGTTCT